CATAAATACAATATTGCATCACTGATCACGCGCGTCGGGCCGTCGGCAAGCACGTCACGATCGTTCATTTGGTGACCTTGATTTCTGCTAGACTACAATCCTTCCCTGCGGATTTGACAAGCAATGATTTGTTGACGTCGACAGAAGCAATCGCTAGCACCTTTACGGAATATCAGTATTAAACGAGACCAATTCTGATGCTCATCAACTTGTACCTAGCTAGAACCTTTGCGTTGTTAAATCTTGAATTGTCTTGCAGGATCTACCCGACCTCTGTTCGCAATTCCGGTGTTCGCGACAAATTAGACTCCAAAAGATCTCAAAATAATAATAGATCGGTCGTCATGGATACAAAAGTGACTAACACTAATTATTTCATTTATTTCACTCATATTTTCAAGCTCCCTATAAGTTGACCATCGATTTAATTATCGTCGCTTTCAATGTAAAATTTTGCCATCGTGAAATTTGTATCATTACACAACCTCATCAAGTAAATCGCTCGAGTAGTATAATAAATTTCAGACGCTTGTCTCATAAGCGAGTAGAGTTACACGCGATAATCTTAGTGAAATGGCGTGGAATCTCGCATCAGCAGCGGTCTTAGTCAGGTCACTTTTAAACGCATCACTTTTTAAAGTCAGTGAACTTTTAAACTGAGTCAGGTAATATAACTGTTGTTTTTTATGTCCTTAAAGTCATCTGCTCTCAGAACTCAACTGCCTATAGTGCTCACGAAGTATAACGAAGTTATATGCATTCATTCTTTCGCTAGCGACCAACCGTAGCGACCATGAGGCAATGTTGGTGCAGCGTTCGCCTCCTGCGGCTTTAATTCACTGCAAAAATCGAGATCCAGGGTCAAGTTTTCGTATCGACTCCGAAACGTTTTCGCTTATAAGAAATGGTGAACTTTTTGGCTATTTTCTTTACTTTTAAATTCCTGGCAAGTTTTTGTATTTTAATATCAACTTGTTTGCGATAACAAATGTTTTCATGTTTTTCTGTTTGTGTTTAGAATATTTTCAATGAATCAATCGCACGTTTCGAAACGAATCACTACATGTGGAAACTCAATCGACAATTCTACGGACCCGCCTGCGAACTCGCCAGCGGACTCGCGCAACTGGGACACTCATAATTCCTTCAATACTTAACGGATCTGCATGAATTTTGGAATGTGAGTATTAATTATCGATACGCTGCCGTATGAATTATTACAGATTTTTACATGAATTATTTTTTAATTAAAACCAATAAACATATTTTTTAAGCAACTGGGACACTCATAATTCCTTCAATACTTAACGGATCTGTATGAATTTTGGAATGTGAGTATTAATTATCGATACGCTGCCGCAGGAATTATTACATATTTTTACATGACTTATTATTAGGTTAGGTTAGGTTAAGTTAGTTTAGGTTAGGTTACGAAATAATTCATGAAAAATCTATAATAATTCCTGCGGCAGCGTATCGATGATTAATACTCACATTTCAAAATTCATACAGATCCGTTGAGTATTGAAGGAATTATGAGTGTCCCAGTTGCTTAAAAAATACGTTTATTGGTTTTAATTAGAAAATAATTCATGTAATAATCTGTAATAATTTCTGAGGCAGCGTATCGATAATTAATACTCACATTCCAAAATTCATACAGATCCGTTAAGTATTGAAGGAATTATGAGTGTCCCAGTTGCGCGAGTCCGTTGGCGAGTTCGCAGGCGGGTCCGTAGAATAGTCGATTGAGTCATGTGGAAACAGTCTGATAAATTATAGGACCGAATTTATTCAGAATATATTCAAAACTAATTAAGTGTCTTGGCTAAACATTTCATATTCGGGCTCGAAAGGATGACGTCACGGCACCGAATCGCCAGATGCATTGTGGGATCGGCCGCCATATTTGTAGCAGGGTCTAGCTTTCGCCTACGTGTTAAATCTACTGCGATCGTCTCTTTTTGAAGTTTTTGCTTGAAGATTTGCCATTTGAACAGAAAACTATCCAATGGTATGCGTTTATTCAGTTTACTAGCCATGAATGCCGTGTATATCTTATCACGGTATCAGTTTATGGCTCGTACTGATATACGTATCGCATATCAGTTTACCAGCCGTGAATATTTAGTATATACGATACTATACATTTTCCAGGGACAAAATCTATTACTTGCCTTCAGATAAGCTACATGAGTAAGAATAAAACCTAATAATATTTACAGATCACAGATAACATTGTCATGATCCATTATCCTGCACCGATGATAGTGTTGTTGCAGTTGGCTGGTTTGTTGGAAGATCAAAAGGATTCACTTTGTTCTATTACATCAAATGTTTCGAGTTCTTGACATTGCCTTTCAATTTCAATATATTTTTGCAAAACGTCGAGGTTTCAGGTGAATTGGAGTGTTGTTGGTCAGTTCTGTGGTCTGAGGTGTCACATGAGGGCGTCCAATATCGGGATCGGTATTACTATGAACCGTCCGAACCCTGGTTACCTGGTAAGCATCGATAAAATTCTATCCTTTTCCTCTTCAAAAAAGGTGAAAAGGAATTTCATTTTCCATCCTTAGAAGGTACCATTCATCAGCATCATTATCTTCGGCAAGTTGTAGGTACTACCAAACAAACTCTACCAGGTACACCGCCTTTCTAGATTCGTTGAAGTTTCGTTTCTCCATTGCCTGTACGGCTGTACCCATGGTTGAACTATATACTAGTTCAACCGTGGTACCCATCCATCCACAAATTGTTTGTAACTTCAAGCGTCTTGTATGCCTTGAATTCTTGCAAGGTGTATTTGCTGACCATCAAACACCAAATAGTTTAGTAAATCACCGTGTTAAACGGGAGTCAGGCTTGCAAAATCTGCACATCACGGCTTTGCCGGCACTTCGTTGGCATCAGCATCGTTAATGTCGAACAATTTTCTTAAATATCGGTCTCTCACTGAAGGAAGGAGTTTTTGACAACAGCATAATCCTTTCTGCTTTGTTCTTTCTTCCTCCATTGCTACCAAAACGTCCAAATGTGTAGGAACGAGAGAGCAAGCTGAGGAGCCAGTGTGATTACAAAGATGGCGGCGTAGTAACGCGGCTAACGTGGATACGCGGGAGCTTGGCGAGCCCGTATAAAAAGGGTAGTAACAATAACTGATCGAAAAAAACGAAAAACTGATCAAATAAAGTTTTATTTAACCTAACACGCCAATACGCTGATTCTGCCATATTATCATAATCCGACATGCAGGATGATGGCCGAAGCGAGGATTAATTTCCAGACGCCAATTTACTCGTAAATAAAAAAACTTGCCTTAACGTTTTTTCGATATGTTATAGAGTGCACAGGGTCTTCTTGATCGTAATCATGTACAGTATGTGCTTATTTTCTAGGAACGAAAGGCTTATTCTCTAGGAAAAACTTACACATTATACTATTCCAGGAATTGGGCCGCCTGCCGAAGGCCACCACTGCCCTGGATGTAATGGACCATCATGATTCCTGCCTTCCGGAACGTAGCCTTCAACACTTCAAGCCGTCCGTATCTTATCCGTGGGTCGAACCAGCCCTCGGTCGAACGGCCACTTGTCGAAGGACGATAAATTTTGAAACAGAACTATGCTATCTGAAACCTAACCTCAGATGCGGTGAACGTAAAATTGCGTAATTTAACGATGCCCGGAAGTCATATTCGATCCGCGGCCTGGTGGTGCACGGCAGGGGGTGGTCAAGGCCGGAAGAGGACAAAGCCGAGTGGTGCACGGCTGATTGGTGTGGGTCCGGAGAGATCCAAGGCGTTCGATTCAGGGCTTATTGGTGCACAAAATTGGTGGTGCACGGCTGCGCTCCCCCAGGAATTAAGTGTCTGGGTAGTTGTGTCATGAAATGAAATGAATAAGTGACTGCACCTATCATGAAAGTAAACACGTTCAAAACATTTTATATATTCATAAGCATGTTTTTATATATTCATATCGAAAGCATTTCTGAGTAAATGGAGGATCATCTATTGTTTCGAGATTGATTACATATGAGATTAAAATATTTTGAGAGAGCTGTTCAAGCTCCAAGCAAATGTAACTTTAAATTCTTCGGACTTTTATAGATCTCATTAATCGCGCTTGGTATTTGTAGCACTCTAGCCGTTTTTTAATTAACGAGATCCATCAGCGTCTCGCTTCAGATTGCAACAACAAATGCAGGGCATTGAATTTTAATTTTTTTCCTTTGATTACATATTATAATTGGAATTACGTAGGAAATTTATGGTGCAGGAGACAAATCATGTTATTAATCGAAAATTAAATTATAAGAAGATTCAGAAAGTAGATGATAACGGATAAAAGTTGCCTTCAATGTGATAAAATTTTATTGTTTCCTCCATAATATTATCCGAAACTTCCATATTTTAGGAATCACTTGGAATCATCGTTTCTGTTGTTGCGTTTACGTGTTGGCACTTGGCAGTTCTATTGGGGGTATCCATCATCCAGATGCCGTGCTGGCAGTGTTCCCTGCTGGGCTGCCGAGTTGGAAGGGCATTTGACATGATTTGAGTCACCTGAAAGCGGCAACATGTGTGCAGTTTCTGAAATAAGACACTGTATTCATGAATTTCTTGTTAAACACAACAAAAACTCACGAATTTTTACTGACACAATGAAGTCTCTTGAATCTCTTAGCCTTTAGGTGTCGGTGTCTGTAATTGTAAACACTGAGTTGAAGAAGCACTGTACTAATTTCATGTTTGCGTTTGCATATTAAAAGTTTTTACCTGCTTATCTTATTGAAACCATTTTAACTGTATGACTAACTTATTAAATGTAGCTAGGCTAGGCCTATGAACAATAATGATTAATGAACGTAGGCTAATCATGGCTAATGCCAAAATTCCTTTTGATGAGTTTTTTTCACCTAATGTAGTTCACTTTATTGTTGATTAGGCTAGCCTAGTTGATGTATGACATTGTTATTGTATTTTCAAGTTTGAATCCACTTATCCACATAATTGAAAGGTACTCTTCTCTTCTGCCTGCCTATAGTTAAATGATAATTTTTAAGACATTTTCAAGCAGTTTTCAGAAATTTTATCACACCATTGGGTCCATGGCTTCTAAGTACAATGTTGTATTTGTTTTGGGTGGGCCTGGAGCTGGAAAAGGCACACAATGTGCTAAAATTGTTCAGGTATGTAATGAATTTAGTTTATATTTAAGGAAGCTTCTTATTTTTTAGTTAGTCCAATTAATAATAGGGTAAACGTGGTATATTCCGACATTGTAGGTAATTCCGTCACCTCTCCAGCTTTTCCTTTATATTAAGCTTTGTTTTAGTTCCATGCGTTTGTTGATGGTTGAAATGGTGACGTCATGCATTTGCGAGTGCGAGTCAAAATACTGCCAAAACACTAGGTCTTGGCCATCTAGTGGGAAAATATTGAGATCCAAAGAGAGACAATGCATGCCACNAGCTTACAGGACAGCTTGTAATTTTAGAGAGCCGCAATATTTCAGGGAAAAGTAGGACCTGAGCACATGCTGCATCATTGCATGCACAGCCACACAAGCTGCTGCTGCACAAGCACACATGACACATCCATGATTCCATGTGCGTGTTTAAGCTATTTTTTGATCCTATCACGTGGCACTTTTTTCCTCAGCATAGCCTATTTTGGCACACCATCACCATGCAGAATTGCAAATTGGATAGGTGGATAGGCCTAAATGACAACATAAATTCTTATGATATGAACTTCACACATTTTCCTGACTACCTAGTATCTACCTATGGGCAAATGCCTACTAGGTATGTCTATCACTCTATGTCTATGCCCTATGGTAAACAGGCAGAACAAAGAAGAAAAAGGTCACATAAATAAACTTTAACATTTCATATCATCTCAATAATGGTAGCTTTTGACATCTAGTTTGCAGTCACTTTCACAGACTTTCACTTAATTATTATAAGAAAAGGGCAAATTTGTTGATATTAGATCGAATTAAATAAACTGTGAAGTTTTAGTTAGGTAGCTATTATGACTGCTCACTGCCTGTCTCTTATACACATCTTTTAGTTTTGCGATATTCCAATTAGTTTCGCTACTACAACAGTTTTACGCCGTGTCATAGGCCTGTCCCGAGTAGCCCCGCCTGTCCCGAGTAGCCCCGGTTGACGGTAACGCATACGGTTTTTTTTATAGTTTTTCATTTCTCGATGCGTCCTTAATGTGTCGGAATATACCGCGTTTACCCTATCAGGCAGAATTTCATTAAAATTATAGGTAAGTGTTTTTTTTCATGGGTGATATAATGATATTCAAAAACTGCAGATAAAAATAAAGAATTTTTCTTATTTTTTACTGAAAAAAATTAGGAAAAGCTGTCCTGTAGAAACTACCCCAAAGGAAAAAAATGATCAGAACCCACCCACAAATTGGACAAAATTGCTTATCAATCTGTAATTCTACCCATTTCTATCATTCTATGGAATGGGTGAGAGATAAAATTCAAGATCCATAAATCAACACGTTCCCCGCATATTGGGCCATATGTGTACCAACAGTGATATTCCACTGCTGCATATTGGGACACCAGTGTACCAAACGAAATATTTTACGCCATTTTGATAAAACACATATAACTCAAAATTTTGCATGTAAACTTTCTCCTTTATAATATTTATGTTCACTCAAAAAGTGGAGTATTAAGTGAAACAAATCATTGAAACAAAATTTTATTTGTAAATCTCCTTGAACAAACTATAAGTAACTGTAATAATTCTAACTAATAATTCCCTCCTTTTCCCTTCTATTCCCTTCTATTGCCCTATATTTCCTTCTATTCCCTTCTGTTGCCTTCTATTCCCTTCTATCCCCTTCTATTCCCTTTTATTACGACACTTCTCTTTAACTTCACTTCTTGTCTGTCTGTCTGTCTGTCTGTCTGCTACAAATCTTGTAATCGAAATTTAATACACTTCTACTTATCCTATTCTATTCCCTTCTATTCCCATCTATTCCCTTCTATTCCCTTCTATTCCCTTCTATTATCTTCTATTCCCTTCTATTCCCTTCTATTCCCTTCTGTTCCCTTCTGTTCCCTTCTGTTCCCTTCTGTTCCCTTCTGTTCTGTTCTATTCCCTTCTATTCAATTATGGTACATATATGGCTCAATAAATACTTGGTACACCGGTGGTACAATACGCAAGAACAACATGTGGTTTTTATTTGCTTGTGTAATGTACCACATGTGTCCCAACATTTTTATTGCAGCTATGCAAAGCTATGATGCCACAGAGCAGCACACACCTCCTCTTGTCATGGCCAATGGCGCCTAACTGAAGCAGCAACCACTGAAAGCCTTCCGCAATAAGGGAATACTGGGGAAATCTGGATACGCGGGGAATGTGTTAAGCAACTGTCTCTCTTTAGATTGATAGCTATAGTTTTTTTTTTGCATTCTTACACTGTATGTGGGCTGTAGGCCTGTAGCCCATATTGATCATTTACCTTTGGCCATTAAAGTCTTTTCATCCTAATTATTCCTTATTAGTATGGAAAAAATCTACTTACTAGTTTGGAAAACAATTTTGAATCATTTAATCCTAGGGTTTTTGAGCAGTGAATAAATTTTCCAGACTATGGAACGCCATTTTGAGCTGCAACTATTTTGCCAAACTACAACTCTACAAGGTTATTTGCCAAGCCATGTGCACATATTACACCAAGTCTCTAATTTTACCCTAGAAATAATGACAAAAGACATTTTCTTAAATTTAGAAACAATTAATTGCATGATAATTTTGCAGCAATTGAGTGCATGCATGCTAGCAATTTGCAGTCGCCCTGCTTGGCGCAACACAAGCGGCTGTCAAGCGCTGCACACAGTAGACGGCTGTCGGTAGTATAGCAAGGTTGTCAGTTTATGCTGCATGGTCCTTCACTGTTTGGACTCAACTCACACAGTAGACACTAGTTTGGACTCAACTCACTTTCTTGTAGAGAGGCCAATTGATATTTGTATCCATGAATGCCTGTAGAGAGTTCAGTCAGAGGAGTGCTAAACAAAATAACAAGCTCTGGTGGAAATAGTAGAAGTTGTAAGAAACTTTAGTGTACTAGTCACCATTGATGAGGTTCGCCAGAAAATTCATATGTTACATTCGCAATTCCATCATGAAATGAATTTCATCGCAAATGAATTCCATTGCATATGTATTCCATTGCATATGAATTCCATCATCCTGGTTCTGGATGAGTGGCATTATTTTCTCTAGCAGACTGTCAAAACAAGCCCAATGACAGCCTAGTATAATTTTGAAAGTCTGATGCATTTGCAACCATTTTTCACCAAATACGGCGACGCGTACATCTTTTCTTAACAGCAGCACACCCGAGAACAATGGCTCAAAGCTCAAATCCGGATGCATCCATCCTCACTGATGTCTAAAGGCCCGTTCACACTAGGGGCAACACACGAGAATCAAGTGCTTCAAAGCGCATGCAGAGGCACTTTGCAGCCTCTGCATGCGCTTCTTGACAGATTGACGAGCTAGCGATTGACATGGGCCATGCCTCATGAAACACAAGCGCGGCACTTGTAGATAGCTATTAAAGAATTGATATCACTTGTTTGCTTGAATCGCAAATTAACTAATAATTTAAATTAAATTAAAAATTTAAATTAATTAATTAAAGATTCAATTCCTTCTGTGCTTTCAATGTATTAAAATAAATTGTGACTTCTGATTTGTGATTCTAGATTCTACGAACTGACGATGGAGCTGGTCTCCGAAACGTTTTCTAAAAAGATATAAATTTTTGTGGACTATTCTTTGCTTTTAAATTCTTAGTTAGTAGATAGCTGTCTGTTGTTTAGTAAGGTTGATTGTGTACGCTGGTCCGGCACACCAAATGTCGACTAACACCACTCTCGTTTGGAGTCACTCTCTAGTAGAGAGCCTAATTGATCTTTATAGAGAAAATGAATGCCTATGGAGTGTTCGGTCAAAGGAGTACAAAAATCGAAATGCAAAGAAACAAGCTGTGGTAAAAATAGTTGGAGCTTCAAGAAACTTGTGTGTTGAAGTCACTATTGCTGAAGTTCGAAAGAAAATCCATACGTTGCGTTCACAATTCTATCGTGAAATTAAGCTGAAACGAGTATCAACCAAATCTGCCGTGGTGCTGACCAAGTGTACAAACCGAAACTAAGGTGCTTTGAATCATTGATGTTCATCAATGACAGCGATGCTCTTCGATCGTCAGTCAACGTCTACTCTCGATGAAAACATACAGATTTCAAATGATGGAAGTTACTTTTACATGACGTGTTTAGTTTCTGTGATTTTAGCTACTTCTGTCAATTTATGCATTACCGTTTAGCGATTTGAAAGAATGATATAATATTGGTACGAATATTGTAACTTTTTTATGTGTAGGTGGCAACTACTGTTCAAAGCGCGCGGTCTCGAGCTATCGCTTACAAACGTAGTGTGAACGGTTGTGCGCGGTGAGGCACTGCAGCAAACGACTCAAAGCGCATGGCGTTGCCACTAGTGTGAACGGGCCTTAACTGGCAACTAATCTTCAAAGCGCGCGGTCTCAAACTACCGCGTACAAAAACAAGTGTGAACGGTTGTGGGCGGTGAGGCGCTGCAGCAAGCGCCTCACCGCCCATGTCATCGCCTCTAGTGTAAACGGGCCTTAACGCGGCTGCAAGCGCCTGTAACGTGACTAAGCGTCTGTAACGCGGATGCAAGCCCCTGTAACGCGGATGCAAGCGCCTGTAACACGGNGTAATATGACTATAAGCGTCTGTAACGCGGACGCGGATGCAAGCACCTGTAACACGGCTGCAAGCGCCTGTAACGCGGCTGTTTTAAAGCTGCTAAATATTAAAAATACTTGTCAAATGTGCCTTAATTTTTAAAGTTATTTTATCACAATCAATTTTTATTTAGCTGTTATTTATATGTCATCAATGTCCATTTAAACGCTCGAGACGGAACTGAGCTGCAGTGACGCATCCTGTACCTCAATGAATTGTGAAGTGCCATTTCCTACCTAGCCTCGCTCGTGCTGTTGACGAAACGCTCGTTTATCACATTAGAAGATGCCAATGATGGTGATATAGTGAACGGAAATCTTAAATGAGTTACTCTATTATAGGGTTTTATTCATTATCTGGTTTTAAATACCTTATTTAAAACCAGATAATGATTTAGATGACATGTAACTTGGATATTCTTACTGAATTATCGGAATAAAATGAAATATTTTTATGTTCTTCCATAAGTTTCAGAGTCATTATTTTCAATGACAGAAATGCATGATTTCATTGAAATTTAATTTGTCTATGTATTCAGTATAAAAAAAATCATCTTGCACGTTAATCGTCCTGAAGTGACATTGGCTGCCTGAAATAGCATCGTCGTTGTTATTCCAAAGTATTGTCTCGATTTTTCATATTTTCTTGTGTTGAGTTTGATTCTCTTGGCACTGGTATTGATGTCAGAAAGTACAGAATGCCGTGCAAATGATCGTAAAGTGTATTATTTGCTCTGCATTTAAACAATTTGGTTTACTACCAATCTATCGATGTCTCCAAAAATATTATGCTATTCAGTAACTGATTGCATGCAACACATATTATTGCATGCGTGTGCATTGCATCAATAGTGCCTAAAACTGTTATAAGGTTATAGGTCACTCTCAACTTGATGTTTATGTTAAAAAACAGCTAAGGGCTTGAGAGTCGAGCTTTGTTTTACTTTCGGTTCCTACTGAGAGTTTCGTTAGTACTTATATATGCTCATATATTTTCGGCATTTGCACTGATTCGTGAACGTTTTTTATCTTTCATCAAACAGTTAGGCTTATGCCTCGTATAGCTGCGCAGTATGAAGAATAAGCTCATGTACGATAGCTGTTATTTTTTAGTTTATAAATTTTACCTGTTAGCTTAACTTTTTAGTTATTTACACTAACTCATCTACAATAGCTGTTATTTTTCGTTTTCCTCAATAGTTGAAAACGATGTTTTAAAATTGAACTTATGTACTGTTGAATACAACTTATTGTCATTGCGATCAAGGACCTTATGGACGTTAGAATACAACGTATTGTCATTGCGATCAAGGAACTTATGGACGTTAGAATACAACTTATTGTCATTGCGAGCAGGAGTTCGGCTACGTTCACCTGTCAGCGGGCGATCTACTACGCGAGGAGCGCAGCAGCGATGGCAGCGAGTTCGGCGAGCTCATCGAGAAGCACATCAACGACGGCACCATCGTGCCTGTGGAGATCACCTGCTCTCTCATAGAGCGCGCCATGAAGGTTCTGCATAATATTTATTATGTACAACTTTCATACTGCAAATGATGTCTTTTGATAATTATGATTTTAATTCTTTGGATTTTGAGTGCCTTGTAAATGATAGATGTGTCTAATTTTGAACTTTCTTGATGTCCTGCCGTTAAAAGTGCCCTGAAAATGTGAATCTCGAAATTTAGAATGTTCCAGTGTGTTAACATAATTTTAAAAGTTTCGGCTTCCAAATAATAATTATTATGGAGGTGTAGTTTTTAAATGACTTCATTAAATGTAATTTTGGTATTTATATCGTTTTGTTTTGCAGGCTTCTGGAAAGGATAACTTTTTAATCGACGGCTTTCCTCGCAACCAAAACAACCTGGAGGGCTGGGAGAGCGTCATGGGGGACAAAGTCAACCTCAAGTTTGTGCTCTTCTTCAGCTGTTCGCTGGAGGTGAGGCTCTCGGGTTCCATTCTAATTTGAAATGTTTATAATGGAAAGGTCGTAGAGCCTTTTAAAGTATAGAATATTTAGTAATATTATGCTCGTGGAGCTCCGTAAAAGTACTCCTAGCAAAGTAGGACCTGATTTAAATATGGAAATAAACTGGATATCATTTTTTTCAGCCATGTAAGTTCTAATCATGTGCTCCATTCAATTTCCTGAATTAGTGTAGCCATTTGGCCTTCCGTACATAAATAGATTCTACAAACAATAGGTATATCGCCGACAGAATAGCCTTAAAAGAATTTTTAGTTCAGAATTTGAATAAAACTCGGCCCGAACTATCACGTCGTACTTTTATTCGCGACGCGTATTCAGTGACTCAGTTCTATGGTAAGAGTTTTATGTATACATTCTATGAATCAGATTTATCCATTTCCATCGTTTTTTATACATAATCATGGGTGCACTAGTGATTAGTGTGCACGGCCCGATAATTTCCTTGTTATTTTATCCAGAGTCTAGTATATCGTATGTGAGAATATATGAGACTTGCTTTTGTCAGCGCAACATGCTGCATATATGGCACAAAAGTAAAAAAAGGGAATATAACCTCGCTTTTATACATTCACACAGTGGATGATAGATGTGACTTAGTTTTTGCACGGTTTGGAATATTGGCATTAGAATAAAGCGGTTGAATGCTCTTTACCAAGACCTGAGCTTGTGTGGGGATATGGAGTGTATTTTTAATTGGAAACATTCATGATGGCTTCAACGGAATCTTTTATTTATCTTAGATCAAGTGGAAGATTTTTATCTTAGACCATAGATTTTGTATTCTTTTAAATGTCTCCCTGCAATTGAAATATTACCAATGTTTATGCTTGTCAGTTAATAGTCAGTGCAGCATTATAGAAACTCAAAGTCTCACATTACCTCAAGTCGCAGGCTGGTATTTTATTTTCATTTTCTATGACAACCAATTTCATAACATTTTCTGAATGGTAGAACCTGTAAATAAATTCGCAGGTGTGCTCGGAACGATGTCTGGCTCGCGGCGCGGCCGGATCAGGTCGCTCCGATGACAACTTGGAGACGTTGAAGAAGCGTTTCAACACATACATGACGGCGACCATGCCGATCATCGAGCACTACGAAAAGCTTAATCTCGTCAAGAAAATTGATGCTTCTGCTGATCCAGAGAAGATCTTCGAAGAAGTCAAGAAACTCTTCCAGTCGTGAAGCATTCTATAATGAACTAATTGGCGGTGTTTTCATAACCGCGAGGTTTGAAGGAACATGTAAAGTCCAAAGAAAAATATCGGTAAAAGACTTGAACTTGAATATGTTGGCGAAAATGGTAGGTGAATTTTTTCGTTTGGCAAGTTTATATGAATCAATTTGTACGGAATTAACGAATCGTAGCATCAGATACATTATTGGTTTACTCAGCAATCATGAAGATTACTCTTACAATTGACTAAATAGGCTGTTTCGTGAACATTGATTGCTATTACTGATGCTTGTTTTTAGATGCTTGTTTACTGATGCTTGTTTAGATTACTGATGCTTGTTTTTGTGTTGTTTTTTTGTTGAATGACCTTGTTTTTAGGATGTAACAAGGTGAGCTAAATCAATTTCATGTTCATGTAAATATATCGCTGCTCATAAGTTCTTCATCGAATTTCTGGAGCTAATTTTTCGTGTGGTGGTTCAATGGGCAGGTTATTTTACTTCCTTAAGTTACGGTGTTTAATTTATTATTTTTGTCATTAATGTTATGCAAAAGCATTTGCAAGATAATTTGCATTTGCACATATTAATATGATTTCCGGAGTTGAAGACGTTATCTATTTAATTAATTTGTTGACAAATTCTCTGTCAGTACACGACTCGTCAGTTTAGAATGATCTGTAAATGAGCTTTTACTAAAGTAACATGTTAGGTTTTTTATGTGTGTCAGTTCAAATACCTGCATTTTTTCCGATTAACAGAACATGAACATCATCTTCGATGGTTCATATACGTAACATAAATCATGGCATGTATGTAGCCTTGATGTTTATGCCGCATAGCTTTTTTTGAAGGTAGGTAGACAATTGGATTCTAGTCTTAAATAATAATTGGCTTTAATAATCTCATCAGAAATTAATTAGTTATGTGTGTCATGATTGAAATTTTGCGGCACTTTCGTGATAATTAGCAAAACAGTAGTTTAACCAACTAATTTATTAACAATGTAGACAATTTTATTGTAGGTTCTTTCGTTCCTTTCCCTGCGTTTCACTTAAGATACAAATATTGGTTCATTGATTTTTTATAGCAAACTTTATAACAAGAAATATGATCTGCGCCATTTGGCGCAGAACGTGATATTTCTGAAATGAGAAATCAACTGCTTCAAAGAACTCGACGACCTTCCACTTTCAGTATATTCAAATTCTTTCGCTTATGCACAGGGCTGTGTAGATTTCCATATATTTATTCGTCGCGTTTAGTTTTGGAGACCAATCAAGTTTGTGTTTAAACTTGGAATTTCAATTCAACCATCTCTTCTGTTTGCATTTGTGCAACATTTTAGTGAACAATATTGGATTCGATAATTTTCTTATGTTTGCGATCAATATTCAATAATGTTACTTACATAATCAACGTGACGTTCGTTACACAAGTTGAACTGCACTATCTTGCACTCATTCCTTTGGGTACTATTTATTTTTACTTTTAGTGGTTCCTATATCACCTTAGCTTCTTAGACCTCTGGCGAATAATAACTAGTATTTATACATCTTCATATTTTATTTCTTAGCATTTTCTGTGTTTTGCATCCTTGCTCATGATGCTTGTCAATATTTCCTACCTTCTGTAGACACTGTAAAGGTTGACGATTCCATGGTTAGCCTTGAGTAGGTCTCTGGAGGTTACGAAAAATGCCTTCTCCTGATGGTCAAGTTATAGAATCAATTCGGCTGTCTACATTCACGTCCAACTATCTGAGCTTGAGATTCTTCGTGGTTTACCTTCATGCAGCATGCCTGTCAATCCTGCGAGATCAAAGATCATGAATTTGAACTAATCTTAGGGCAATTTTTCTTGAATGACTAGTACAGTTTCAGGATACTACCGTTAGTATTCTTACTATTAATACAATGACTAATATGATCATCTTCAATTACGGTCTGGGCTTCTTATTCCCTGTGAATAAGCTATACAATGAAATGTATTTTTGTCTTGCAATCTATCAGAAAATATAATGAGACATGCTGCGCTATAGCTAATTACGTAGTGCTGACTCGCTGTAATCGTCTTCAAGGTATATTATTTTATCCTTTTCAGATACCAAGCATTTCTCATTCCGATATTGTTTCTTATGACCAGCATTTATAGTACAGTTGTTCATCACATGAAGTTAATCGTTACTGAACATTGGCCTACTAAAACTCAAATACGTAATAGAAATGTGCATATGTCGCCAACAGCAACACTATGGTCACATAAAAATGCTGATAATGATTAAAACGAAGGGTACAATAACCGATGAATACATCAGCAGAAATTTATTGTGAACAGAATAATATGGATGTTGTCACTTCAACTTTTATCCAAAATTAATTTTCTTTTGAAAAATGTGCTTCCAATCCTATATTGGGATGTTACAATAACAAACAAAGAATGTTGAATATCTTGTATCCTAATGTATCTTGTATCAACTTGTATAGTTATCAGTGACTTATCACAATATATGCTTGCTTCAAGATACTTAACAATCCACTACCGAAAAGAACAAAACTAACGGAATTATGAATATATAGAAATGTCTTTGCATCTTCCTTGAAAACTGCATGAGCGTCATATGAATTGAGTTATTTGTTGATGAACTGAAACGTCAAGAGTGGCCTTTTGTACATATTGCTGCGCAATATGGACGTTCATGCTTGGTAACAGCATCGACCAATTTATGCTGACGCTTCAATTATAATAACCGTTGCAAGTATTCGGAAAATCAATGAATCTTATTAAATGGTCCCAAATGAGACCTGTCAAATTACTCGAGGCAATACAAAAAGTGAATACAAAAATCAAACCAGTCCATACATGCAGTTATATGAAACAATGTATGTAGAAAGAAAATATAGGCACGAAGATCCACAGATAATGGAACAACATCAGTCAGATGAAACAGAAACGCTAACAATAATACAGACAGCTGCAAATCACGAATCATGTTCAGTGAAGAAAACACATCGAGTTTTTCTGGTGATAAGTACACCATTCCAGTGACGAAGGTGGTAATCACAAACTAGAAGTTAAAAAGGAATTTCACGCAGAAATATCACATTCAGTCATAAGGTGCTTCGTTGAAAGTAAATTACTTTCCAGAGTGACGAACCGTATGCATATTAGCAGCCACTATGCTCAAGAGCGTGAAATGTTGAGTACTTTACTTCTTCAACAACAAGTATGCTAGTATCTATCTATAATTTGGCTACATTTTGCTCGTCAAACGGGCTTGCAAACTGACTCTTTGTGGAAGGAGGGAATGCGCCAGTGAAGGAATGTGAAAATGACAGACATAAGCACACAACCAAGAAAATTACACTAAAGAACGCATATGCTAAAACAATTATAATAGTGTCCGTAAAATTTTCGATGGCACATTAGCTACGCCTGATTCAACTTATAATTGGTTGAAAATTTGGTGATCTCAGCCAAGAACGACCTGCAAGAAGTAGCAGTGTATTGAAATTTGTGACAGTGCCACAAGAAAAATCCACAATATAATCCTTACATCACGAGCATATCAGCGTAGGTAGCATACAGGCTTCCTTCGTTATAGATGAACGAAAGCGCCATTCAACATAGTCACTCCTTATGTAAATTTTACAACAACGTAGATTGTTCCCGAGATTGAGTGAATAAATACAACCTCTCGTTCAAATAAGACATAAATGGAATATATCACCCGTTACCCTAACCCCATTTCCAGTAACCATTTATAGCAAAGAGCTCACTAATTAAAAGCTATATAACAGAACATAATTAGTCGTAACATCTGAACCTCTTCATCTCGCTAAATAATCCAGAAAACAATCTTATAACCATGGACCTACTATTGTTGAGGAGTTATCATTAGAAGAATCAGCAGATATATCAGACCTGATCTGATATTAAAACAAGCCTGAAGTGAACGACAATTATTGCATTTAAAGGGAAGTTACACCGTTCAAGGAATCGAGATGACGTGTACATCCTGGACCCGTTTTGATGGACGAAACAATGAGTGCCAACCGCAAGGGTCACAAAATCCAAAAGTTTCAGACATGGCAGTGATCAATTGGAAAAGACTTCATAGCATTGTATTCGCCCGAGTGGCTCTGCATCAACCTCTGTGGTGATGTGTAAATTGTAAATAACTATTTGTAATTACTTTACTGGTACAAGACGTTGTTGAACGTAGTCTTACTTCCCCGCATCTCTAATGAATAAAATTTAAACTATTGACACGCACAAAGTTAGAGACTGCCTGCTATGTATATATGCAGTAGGTAAATATTATCCGTAATAATGGCTAGAAGCCAGTTATTCACCTACCAAATCCTACATTCATGCTATAAGCCACATTCCAGAATGTGGCTCTAGTCAGCTCTACTCTCAATAAAAATTTTGTTTAATATCCTGCGCATAACAAATATCCTAGATTTCATCATCTCCCTAACACAATATTTTGGAGAACAAGATTAATAAGAGCGTAAGATACAATTATATATTGCAAACAAGCTTGCGTTATCCAATGATTCACAGCACCGACATTGGAGCAATACTTCAATAACTTTCTGTCATGGCTATAGTTTCGAGCCGTAACTTAGAGAAGCAATGATACATAGCCAATTAATTCAAGCTCAACAGTGATTCCGTGCCACAGAATAAGAACAGGCTTTCCTGCCGCCAATTTAGCTATTCTTGTGCCTACACTACAAAATAATAAGACGCTTTGTTATTTTGTAAAAAAGCAGGATGTCGTAAGTATATAGTCTATGAAATAGACGATACAGCTCATTATTCAAACTTGCCCTTTTTACTCTTGTCGTAGTGATAGGCGCCATTCGATACGCCGTTCGTGATGGGCTTTTGGTCGGTCGTCACGGGTTTCTTCATGTAGGCACGGCGGAAGAAGTGGGCGAAGAGTACGAAGTATGAAGTGTACATAATGAGCGAGATCTTGATGTTCTCATAGGACACGTGGCATTCGTTGCCAGCTTGCTTGACTTGGTAGGCCCAGATGTTGACAGCGGCACCCATGATCATTTGAGCAAGTTGGGCAGTCGTGATGAACATGGCAACGTATCGCGACACCTTGAACTTGAGGGCCTTCAGCGCATAGTAACTGTACATGACACTATGTACCAAGTAGTTCATGCACACGAACCAGCGGGCAGTGGCAATGTAGTCGGAGTATGAGTACCAGGCGTAGAGCAGCACGGTCACGTGGTGGTACCAGTGCAGGAAGATCAGCGGTTGCTTGCGCAGGACGATGAAGACGGTGTCACCCAACTCAGGCACCTTGCTCAGGGTGAACATCCAGTTCCAGAAGCCCCCGACGCGGTTGTCAAGGAAACTGTAAAAAAAGCGAACGTTAGAAAACGGGGAAATATAATATTAGAAAGCACAGTGCTAACATATGTTATACAAGCGTTGAAATTATATAAGCGGCGTAATTGACGAGACATTTTAATGAATATTCTTGTGCTTAAAATGCTTCGTCTCGATGAAAAATTGCATCAGAAACTAATGTTTATTTTATCTCGGTGACGCTCAACTTAGAGATTAAGCTTCAAAAACCCACAACAGGGATAATTCAGCTCCTACACGCCGCAATAAAGGCAAGATTGTACGACACAAGACGCACATGGATGGCAGCGCCAGACGAGGCGACCGTACACGACCTCCCACACCTGCGCACACGGCTGCTAAGGTGCAGCTTTACACTACACGCACACACTCGACCAAATAACAAACTATTGCTTTACACTCTTTCTCTTCGAGTCTTAGCCGGGCCGCCTCAGCTTTTGAAGTTCAACAACAATTTTTCACTCTTCCAACATTTGCTAAGTTGAACCGAGAAAGACAAGAAATACCAAATTTATCAAGGATTTTCTACAGTGAATGAGGCTTCTCTGATGGACACATAAAAATTAACGAACAATAATTAAACGAACCGAGCTTTCTCTCTATAAAATATAATTATTTTCGTCTAAATATACGAGTCCAAGTGGATATTCATCAGGACACGAGTGCTGAGTGCAGTCCAACTAGATATTATATCGAGTTTCATCTTAAATGGCAGAAAAAAACTGATACACAGTACACTATTTGATGAAATTTATCGGAAGAATTAACTTGCGGTGAGAGGGTTTGGGTTTGTGCTTAGTATGCTCGTCAGACACGACGTGTTTCGAAACGAGTCATCGTTCGTCGTCGAAAGGGACATCATAGAGCCGAGACTGCGACGCTGGTACCGAGCGTGATCAGAACAACGGACCATTGATGAAGTTAGGTGGCGACGATGAACTGAAACGTGACTTGTTGTGACATAATTCAGTGTTGGATGAATAATAACCACATTATATAATACATTACGTACTACTTATTAGAATTGCAAGCAAAATTATTAGGAAGTGCCGCGAAATTGCGATCAGTAGCGGCGGCACGATAACTAAGTATGACCTAAACACTTGTTAGTATGATTAGGTAAATGCATGTGAAATGACAAGACTTTGGACAGCACTCGAGGGACGAAACTCCAGGGACACCTTTGCTTCTCCCGTTTAACAAAGTATGGATTTACAAATATGAATAGCAAACGATATTACGCGAGTTTTTGCGTCAATGCTGCTTCTATGTTACGCAGCCAAAATGCCTCGCGTTCGTCGGCGTTCTACCGAGCATACTTTGATTAAAACCTCAATGAAACGTAAAGAGAGGGAACACAGACGGGCAGCCCTCACAGGCGTTGGCGTGCCGTCGCCCTCGCCCTGCCCGCCATCTCGACGCAAGAATCGATAGCGCAACGGCGCGGTCTGGCCACATCACCGCGGGGACATTACGCGGGTGCGCGGGGAGGAGGGTAGTTTCGTGGGGAAGGGCGGGAGGAGGAGGGCGAGAGGAGGAGGGTAGTTTCGTGGGGACGGGCGGGAGGAGGAGGGGAGTTTCGTGTGGGAGGGCGGGAGGAGGGTAGTTTCGCGAGGGAGGAAAATACTACTCGGAAATCTTTCAACCCAACATTGCATTTAGAGTAACAAAATACAATTTCTCTACAGCAAACAGCGAGCTACTTAAGGATCGAGTAATTTTCGCCAATACTGATAACCCTCAAGCCGCATGAAGAAACCGGATCTCCGAAATTCCCAATGCACGTCGACATCTCCAAGTTCATATGAAGGGTGAAACTAGGGCGGCGCAGTGACGTCATGTCGACGGGATTTTTGCAAAATAGGTTCCAGTACCCGGATGCCTGCACACGTGCAATAGAACAGATAAAGAGAGTTGAATCGATTGAATAATAGCTGCAGCTACTGCTGCGAGGATTAAGGTGACGTCACTGGCCACTTGCATCTGGAAAATCAATTGATACGCGAAAATAGCGGGCGGCAAACGCAGAGGAAATCGAGATGTATGTGGACTCCTGACAAAATTTGAGTCGCAGTCAAGTACCGAAGCAGAAGTTCGCCATGATTCCCATAGAATGTCCAAGGTAGAAGGCGGCAGGTGTAAGCCCCAGCAAACACTGGAGGCAACCGTTGCCAAACATGAGAGTAGATTTGGCCTGCATGTTGAGCAACGACGCTGCGTAAGGTCATGGTCGCATCGGCCTGTGCGCACCAGAGGCACTCGTGTGAAAGTAACCACAGGTTTAGTTCGCTTATAATTCGGTTGATGTCGAATTAGCACTAAGTCAGAATTCAAATGGATACGAGACGTACCAACTGATAGCATTAAGAAATAGTTTGGAAGGATTCAGATTCATTTTCAGAGCAATAATATTAAAACATAATATGTCGAATAAAAAAATAATGAGAAAACAGTCTTTAGTTGCGCAAGAAAATCGTTTTTTAATTAAGTCTCGGTGATACTTGTATTACAATCAACAACCCAAATATGAGCAATTATTGTCAGTACATGTTTCTCATAATTCATACGTCTTTCATGCGATACAATTCATCAGCGAGTATCAAGTTTAAAGACCAATATCACTATACGCCTCCAATACAAGCGTGACCAGTAGAATTCAACGAGTTCAGCGTTAGTGAAACAACAAATGAACATATCACATAGCAAGTCGTTCAAAGAACGATGACAATTACATGAGCAGTCATTGTTAATTTTAGTCAGGTGTAATTTTAATGACCATTCAGGCTCTAATGTTTGCTGGAACTTGACAAAGAGAACGTCATACTGACATGGCAACCTTAAAGAATGACAATGCAGTTAAATTCCTCCATGTCATCCTAATGTCCTCCATTCTCGGGAAACCCAAGTGAAATAGGAAATATTTGACTGATGACCGTAGCAATGCTTCGCTACTCATCCTTTACTAGATCTCTTCAGAGTTACTAGAATGGATTGACCAGTCATGCGCCTATCATATCTAATATAATATTTAATTACGCGACCATTGCACGAAATTCTCCGGCATTTTCAAGTCAGCCGACAATAACTGCAACATATGAAGAAAATCTTTTGCGAAAAGATGCAATTGAGTACTGTTGAAAAAACTGACCGCAGTTCTAGACATGTTTTCAGACAAACCTCAACAAACACGACTCCACCAACGACTACGGTACTTGGCCTTCGATTCGTGACTGGCAAAAATAAATTAACAGCAATCAGAAATGAACAAATAAAATTCAAGGCAGCACTAAAAGTCGGCTCTGTAGCTTATGAACTTACAAACTACATGCGGCGAAGCAGCGTTCACCAATGGCAGCATGAATGACGATAAATGAAAACTTTCATCCATATTTTGATAACCGCTCGTAAGACATAACTCTGTATTATTCCAATCGTATTTCCCTGTGAACAGCAAGTTCTGGATGAACGATCAGCAGCAAAAACACTGTTTCATGCAGCACGAGTTTCAGGTCGGACAGAAGGCTTGCAGGAAAGCAAACTCAGCTCTGTGTACATGAGGAAGAAGAGGCTAAGGCTATTCTTGCCCACATAGAGCGAGCTATAAACTGCATCGCTCAGTGCTGCAGGAAAAGGTCTCCTGCAACAAAGAGATCTAAAGATATCGTTTCAATGGCCGGTGAACTTGAAATGCAACTCATTCTCATGCATTAACCATGAACCCGAAAGAATCGTGAGGATTAAATGTAACAGGGCATACATCACACGTGCTTTATTTTCAATGGCAGTAAAAATCAAGCTGATTGTACACATTTCAATGAACATAATAAGAAATTCTTAAATGAACTCAGTACAATTTCAAATTGTGTCATTTTATAAATAATTGTTGTTATTTCAAAACACTTAAATTCAAACTCATTCTAATGCATCAAGCAAGAAAATTAAGATTCAACTCGTGATATGGAGGCAAATTTTACAAAACACGCAATTAACAACTGTCGCTGCACCGAACGAAGTCTCATCGCCGAGACATCGATTTATGAGATTCCCAATTCACCTCCTGAGTTCAAGGTAGCTAAGATAGCCATATGCCTATAGCGCTGACCACCCTACAGAAATATCTGTAGTTCCCTTGCTAAATTACTTCAGGGTATAATAGCGCGCAGGGGGCACTGTTCTTCCTCATTGTAGTGAATTCCAAACTTGGGATAAATTAATTATAGCTGCGGGATTTTATCAACTTTTCGGAGAGAATAGGAATCAACCCTTTAGATAAGTATTCAATTTTAAACACAAAGTGGTCTGACGAACACACGAGTTTCATGCGTATTGTGACATGCAAAGATGCATGACAAGATGAAAACGTTTGAGCAGGGCTACTTTTAGTCCGTAGTCTATACTAACTATGCAGTTAAGCTAAGAATAATTGTATCATAATACCTGCATATAGGGGCCAAACAAGACAAGGCTATTGTGCACTCGTCGCGTCCATAATCATTCACACCAAATGCACAAAGCTATAGCCTATAATGAGGTTATTGCTATTCATGACCAGTAAGAACAAACTTTTCTACACCCGGCAATACGAAACCAGACAACGGCCGATTTTTGGACGGTAATTAGATTACGCTTTTTAATTACTTTTCTGGCCTTGGCACAGCTCGTCTTTTCCACGCGTGATACAAACGCGGAAGTCGGAGGCCTTTTTCTCCACCAGCCTAACAATTTACAATGCCTATCTATCGACCGTTCAGGAAATGCATGCCACAGATGCGAGTCAAACGAATGTAAACAGGAGTATTAAGACAAGGTAATGATAGTTCGACTGTCTAAGAGGCAATGTGTTCTTGACATACTCGCAACAAAAAGTACGGATCTAAATAACATGATCAATATCATTTCGAATTGATAAAATCCCTGTAAAAAGTAATCAAAAAATCTTAACAATAGGCTATCTTTTAGATGTCATGTGATAATTCTGAAGTCTAT